AGAGTTTGCTTCTTGCCATCAATGGTGAGCTGTACGTGTTCGTTAAGTGGAAGCTCTTTGCCATCCTTGAACCACTTAACCAAGGCATCACCCTTACTTAGCTCAATTTCGAAGACAGCATTCTCGCCTTTAGTTACGGTAACATTCTCGAGTGGTTTTATGATTTCCGGTGGCAATTCTATTACTGTAAGTTCAGCAGTGCATTCCTGTTCCTCTAGTTTACAGGTGTATTCACCCTCATCATGTATGGTGGAATCATGAATTATAAGCTTTCGCACCTTGCCCTCTTTAACGAGTTCAACATTCTTCTTTTCGGGTGTGATCTTTTCGCCATCCTTGTACCACACGACCTCCGCGGTATCTGTAGAAACTTCTACATCTAAAATTGCGGTTTCCTTTTCGGTTACCTCGTAATCTTCTAGTATCTTAATGAATTCTGGTTTACGCGGCAAAACTTCTACTGTGGATTCAGTCTCTATATTTTTAACTTTGCACACATAAGTGCCACTATCGCGCAGATTGGTGTTACGTATAACCAGTTTGTGTACCTTGCCGTCTTCAACCACCACTCGATGGTCCATACCGCTGAGTTCTTTGCCATTGAAGAACCATTTCGTCGTAACCACATGTGAGGTTTCACATTCCAACGTAAGCGACTGAATTTCTTCAATGGTAATGGTTTTCTTTAACTTTTTGGTGAATGTAACTTCGTCAACCTCCACAATGACGCGCGCACCATGCGATGTTTTGCCGATCGGGTTGCTGGCGATACACTTGTAATCGCCTGAATCTGTATCGGGATTGGCATCCTTGATGATGAGCTCAATATTCTCGCCATCATATACTTGCTGTATGCGTTCCGACGGATAGAGTGGATTGTTGTTGAATAGCCATTGCACCTCAGGCACTGGTTGTCCAGTAACCTTAGCCGGTAAACGAATTGTACCCTTCTGTGGCACAGACTGTTCCTCGAAGCGTTCGACGAAGAGCGGTGGTTCGGCATTGCCGCTAGAGGGTTCTATAAGGGAAGACATAAATATTAAATAGTTAGCCATTTTGGGAATTTATTCTTTATTTCAAAATGTACAACTTTAACAGTTTGGTTTGTTCAAAACACATAACAATAAACAAAAAAATACTACCTTCAATGGTTAGGTTAGCCGTTGTTTCCACGCTACCCAATGGATTCTCCGCCTTTACGGTGTATTCACCGCCTTCAGCAGTCTTTGGTGAGATCAATGTCAATGTGTGCGTATCTTTGTCTGACTTTGTGTTTTTCGTTATCGGTTTGCCATCTTTGTACCAGGTCACCTTTGGACGCGGATTACCAACGATTTGTGTCGTTAATACCACGCTCTCGCCTTCGCGCACGACCGTATTACGCAGTGGTTCCAAAATTTGTGGTGGTTCCTTCTCATCCGTACGTACCTTCAATACAATCGGCAAACGAGATTCGCCCTCCCGGTTAGTGGCGATTACTTCATAAGTGCCTTCTTGTGATTTCTTCACTTTTGTGATATGTACAACACTACAGTACATATGCATATCAGATTCCGTAACGATGCGTATATTTTTGGTCTCTTTAACATCGATTTCCTCGCCATTGAAAGTCCAAACAATATCCGGCTCTGGCACAGCGACTAAGCGGCATTCTAATATGACATTCGTATTTTCGTCAACATATTGCGCTTTGGGCTTGCGTGAGAATGTTGGTGGTATACCTTCGAGTATGTCTGCTAGTGATGACTCACGCGACATACTCCTGCGGGACAATCCCGTAGCGTCGGAACCATGATCTGATAATGGTGTCTCGACAATTAACTCCGTTGTGGTTGATGTGAAACCGGCAGCATTTTTAGCTACACAGGTAAATTTACCCGCATCCTCTGGGAATACCTCACGTATGATCAATGTAGCCACATTATCATCGTCGTAGTACATTTGGAAATCTTGAGAAGGCTTTATAATAGCCGTTTCGCGGAACCAAGCGATTTGTGGGCGTGGTATGCCTTCAACCTTACATTCAAACTGCACTGTATAACCATCAGGTGTATGTATAGGCTGTAGTTTTTCAATAAAACGTGGTGCCATTGGCTTCTCTTCGGGACCGGGACCTTTTTGTTTTTACATAAATGTGTTATAAGAAAAACAATAGAACAGAACACAATGGGTTAGACAGGAAAAAGACAACACATACGGAGAGAGTACGCGAGACAATTCGGGTACAGAGGGGTTCTTGAAAAAAAAAAAAAAACGATTTCATATTGGAAAACTTACGTTCAAACACTGGAAGCTNTGGAGAGAGTACGCGAGACAATTCGGGTACAGAGGGGTTCTTGAAATAAAAAAAAACGATTTCATATTGGAAAACTTACGTTCAAACACTGGAAGCTTGTCGATTTTCTCATGCAATTTCTTTTGTACATAGTGTGTGTATTCGGTAGGTTCCATTAGATATTGCGCCGGTACCCAGCCTTCCTCTTCTGTGATATTTTTCTTTACATACCACCATTCCGAACTGTGACGACCAATCACGTAGACTTTCTCGCCTTCCACCAAATTAATGGCTTCGTCATTATCGGCGATATAATTGCAAATGGAATACATTGCATTCTCGTCATCGGTTTCTGCAAAAAAGATGCCATTAAGAACAGTGAAATTGGGAATTTTTCGAAACTTTCTAAAAACTCACCTTCGATATTCATTTCGCGCGTTATATTTAGAGAAGCGCCCTCTGTCGAATGAAAAATTATAGTACATTAGTACATCATACATATAGGTATGCGGACAAGAATTCGTAAACTTTCACATATGAAATGTTAAATGTGCATTTAAGGTCCAATTAGTTGTGCCATAGCAATCATCGGTTCTAGGCAGCCCAGTAAACGATTTTTGGTGCTATACCATAACGCTGTAGCCATAACCAGAACCGAAGGTATCTATTGACCCTAAACAGCTCTCAAATATTTGACAAAGTTACGGCTATGGCACCTCTAATTGGGCCTTTAGTGCTACAAATCGTGAGTGATGACTATATAAATATACGTATATATATGTACACATAAGATGGGAAACATAAATGTATGTATGCATGAAGGCAGTTACCTCGAAGTGCTACGCTGTTATCATATAAGCTAGCTATAATATTTTCCAAATATCTAAATGTAATAATATAAGTAAANCTTGTGCCATAGCAATCATCGGTTCTAGGCAGCCCAGCAAACGATTTTTGGTGCTATACCATAACGCTGTAGCCATAACCAGAACCGAAGGTATCTATTGACCCTAAACAGCCCTCAAGTAGTTGACAAAGTTACGGCTATGACACCTCTAATTGGGCCTTTAGTGCTACAAATCGTGAGTGATCACTATATAAATATACGTATATGTATGTACACATAAGATGGGAAACATAAATGTATGTATGCATGAAGGCAGTTACCTCGAAGTGCTACGCTGTTATCATATAAGCTAGCTATAATATTTTCCAAATATCTAAATGTAATAATATAAGTAAAATGGTATTGCAAAGCTGTGACTGTTTTCAATTGGTTAATTTTTTTGAACGGCTATTTTGTATTCTAAATACATATAGTTTTCCATAATACTGACCTTCGTTGAAAATCTGTTGGATCACCTTTCGCTTCTTTTTGAATGTGAATGAGTCCTCATCGTACGTTACCGAATCGCTCTTTGGTCGTCGTAATCCAATCAAAAATTGTTCCTCCTCTTCGTCTTGTATTGAGTATCTGGGCTTGGCAGGCTTCTTCGGCTTAATTGTGAAGGCAAAGTCATCTGGTGGTAATTCTTCGACTTGATATTCTTCTGGTTCTTCTACATCGTACATGGTGTCTTCAATGCTACTGTCATCGCGTATCTCTTCGATGATTGGACCATCATCGTCTTCGTAATCTTGGAAGATTTTCACTTTAGCTTCATCAGCGGCTTCGGAGTATGTCTTCGTAATTGGTTTCTTCAGCTTCACTTTGCCAGACATAGAAATTTCCTCTTCAGCGTATGAATCTAATGCGATATTGAATTCTTGGTCGACATCTTCTTTTGTTTTAATGGTTTTTGGACGGAATGTAACATTTTCGACATCGGTGAATTCGGGAATTTCCACACCCTTCTTGCGGCGTTTCAATTTCTTAACAGTATATTCTTGATCCTGTTCTTCTGTTACTTGTAAAGCTTTTGGTTTTGGTCCTCTTTCGACGACAAACTCTTCAACATCTTCACCTTCTTCGTACTCCTCTTCTCGTTTTAGTGAAAGTTCTGCGCCCGCTTCATCAAATGCCATTGGCCTGGATGGTCGCTTTTTCAGCACCGTTGCTTCTTCAGCCACGTCTTTATTAATTTGTAGTGGCTTCTTCAAAGACAAACTGAATTCTTGCTCTTCGTGCTCTTCCACAGTGGGTTCAAAGGCCTTCTTCGGTTTGCGGCGCATAACTATAGCTTCTTCAACTATTTCTTCTTCTTCGATTTCAATTGGACGCTCTTCAACCACTTCCTTAGTGAGCTTCAATTCATCGGCGGCTTCTTCGACCGCTGGTTTGGGCTTCTTTTTCTTCTTCAGCGCAACAGTTTCATCGGTAGTTTCCTGTGTTGTTACTTTTTGCTTTGGTAGCTTAACGTCAACAGCGAACTCCTCTGTTTCAACTTCTTTGGGTTTCTTCGGCTTAAGTACAACATCGATTTGCACATCTTCTGGAGCTTCTTCTGGTGCAGGTTTCACCAGTTTAACTTTTACTTCTTCTGTTTCGTCGATCTCCTTTGGTTTCTTGGGAACAATAACTTCTTCGATTTCCTCCACTTCCTCAACAATTGGTTCGGGTACGACTTCTTCCTCCACTTGTACGGTTAACTCTGTAGCTGCTTCCTCTTTGGGTTTCTTTTGTTTCTTTTTCACAACCTTTAGTTCTTCCTTAACTTCTTCGACATCCTTTTTAGGTTTTAGAGTTACCTCTGCTTCTGGCTCCTCTTTAGTTTCCGGTTTAATAGGTTTCTTCTGTGGTAATGATACTTCTTCTTCGATTATTTGTTGAGGTTGCGGTTCAGTTTCTTTCAACTTGAATTCGTATTCTTTCGGTTTTTCTTCAGGTTGTTCTTGCTTTGTGACTACAACTTCTTCTATCTCTTCTACCTCTTCTATCTGTGGCTCTTGTGGTACCTCTTCCTCAATTGTTACCTTTAGTTCGGCAGCAGCTTCTTCTGGTTTGGGTACCTTTTTGGCCTTCTTCTTAATTTTAACCTCTTCTTGCACTTCCTCCGTCGGCTTCTTTGTTTTCAACGTAACTTCTGCTTCGGGTTCTTCTGTTACTTGTGGAATTGGTTTCTTTTTCTTTGGAAGAGTAACTTGTTCTTCTGGTAATTCTTCTTTAGGCTTTTCGGTTTCGCTTTCTGTTACCTTGAAATAATATTCCTTAGGCTTTTCTTCTATTTGTTTTGGCACGATTTCTTCGACTTCTTCAATTTCTTCTACAACTTCGGGAGCAGCTGGAGTTTCTTCTACAACTGTTACCTTCAGCGCTGCCTCAGCTTCTTCAACTTTAGGTTCTTTCTTTGATTTCTTCTTAATTTTTATTTCTTCCTGCACCTCTTCAGTTGGTTTCTTCGGGGTGAGTTTGACTTCTTCTTCTGGTTCTTCTGTGACTTGAGGTACTGGTTTTTTCTTCGATGGTAAACTGACTTGTTCCTCTAAGATTTCTTCCTTTGGTTTTTCAATTTCACTTTCTTTGACCTTGATCTCGTATTCCTTGGGCGCTTCTTCCTTGATCTTTTGAGGAACAGGTCTAACTTCTTGCTCTTCTTCCACTATAATTTCTTCTACAATGGGAGTAGCAGGAAGTTCTTCAACAACTGTAACTTTCAGCTCAGCTGCGGCTTCGCCTTCTTCAGGCTTCTTTTTAGGTTTCTTCTTAATTTTAACTTCCTCCTGTACTTCTTCAACAGGTTTCGTAGTTGTCAATCTTACCTCCGCTTCAGGTTCTTCAGTCACTTGTGGAACAGGTTTCTTTTTCTTTGGCAGAGCAATTTCTTCCTGAGCTGTTTCCTCTGGTTGCTTTTCAATCACAGTCTCCTTAATTTGAACCTCATATTCCTTTGGTTTTTCTTCCACTTTCTCCTCAATTTCAGTCGGAGCACTCAATATGACTTGATGTGGTTTCTCTTCCTCAGCTTTTGGAGTCTCTTCAACAACATCCACCTTGAGCTCTTCTTTGGTTTCTTTCGGCTTCTTCACCTTTTTCTTAACCACAGATACCTCCTCAATAATTTCTTCTTTCGGGGTTGTAGTGATAACTTTTACCTCTTGAACTGGTGCTTCTTCGACTAGCTCTTTCTCTTTGGGAATTTCAGGCTCTTCGAAAACCAATGGTTCAGTTTTTTCTGGCATTGATTCCTTAATACCAATGACATACTCTTTGGGTTTTTCCTCGGGCACAACCTTTTCAGGTTCAGTTATAATCTCATCTATCTCTTCCTCCACCTGAGTGGGTTTTTCCGGAACTTCTTCTGTGACTTTCACTTTCAATTCGACCTCTTGTGTCTCCGTTGGCTTCTTTTTGGATTTTTTGGTTTTGATTTTGGCTTCTTCTACAACTTCTTCTGTAGGTTTACTTTCCTCGATAACGAATTGGGCCTCAGGCTCTTCCACTGGTTGCTCAACAGTTTCTTCTTCTTTGACTGTGAATTCAACCGAAGGCACTCTTTCTTCAACTTGTGACTCAACAATTCCGAATTTGTATTCAGCAGGAACCTCTTCGATCGAGGGTGCCTTTTTGGTGACTACTACTTCCTGTGTCGTTTGCTCTTCAATTTCCTCCTTCGGAGTTTCCGTTTCAACCACCTTAATTTCGTGGATGACAGAAACATCTTCCTGCGTTTTCGGTTTCTTCGGTTTTTTCTTTACCGCAACCTCCGTTTCGACTTCCTCTACCGGTTTCAGCTCAGTCAAAACCACAGCAGCCTCAAATTCTTCAGGCACCTCTTTCTTTGGTTTTTTCTTAATTGAGAAGACGGCACCATCGGGCTGTTCCACCTCTTCAACTGGTTTAGGCACCACTTCTTCCACTACTCCGATTTCATATTCTTTAGGAGCCTCTGAGGTCTTTACCTTTTTAGGCTTTTTCTCTTTGACAACCTCTTGAATCTCTTCTATTTGTTTCGTAACCTCGGCTTCAATATCCGTAGTGGTGATTTCATAGGTTGGGAAATCTTCTGCAATTTCTTCTACTACTGGCTGTGGCTTCTCCTCTTCTTCTGGAATTTCTTCGGCAAGTTGCTCGGGCGCTTTTTCGGCTTCTGTTTCGGTTAGCTTGAATTTATAGCTCTTCGGTTTCACTTTCTTGAGCACCTCTTTAGTCTCAGTATCCTCAATAACTTCCTTTTCGGAAACATGTTCTTTGACTTCCTCAACAAGAGGAACCTCCTCAACCTCAACTTCTTCCTCCAGTTTCTTAATTGGTTTCTTCTTCTTTATGCTCACCTTGGCGACTGGTTCTTCTGGCGCAGCCCCGGTTTCTTTCACATCTACCACTGCTTCATCAGGAGCTACCTCTTCTGGTTGCTCATCCTGTGCTGGAATAGTTTCTATCACTTCGGATGGCACTTCTGAAATTTGGGGCTCAGTAATACTATATTCATATTCTTCAGGCTTTTGTGGTTTGGGTTTCTTTTTGCGTGTGACCACTCGTTCTTCCACCACTTCTTCGACAGTGACCTCTTTCTGATCGTAGTCAATAACACGCACTTTATGTTCCTCTGGTGCTTCTTCAGGTTCAATAACTGTTGTTGTAATTTTGTACTCAACTGGAGCTTCCTCTATTATCTCCTCTTTCGGTACATCTTCGACCACCTGCACTTCGGCAAGTGGTGCCTCTTTCGGTTTTTTCTTCTTTAGCTTGACTTCAGCAGCTTTCTCTTCAACAGTTTGCTCGGGAACAGTAGGCTGCTCCTCGGTCACAGAAATCTCAAACTGTTCTTCAGGTATTTCTTCTACAGATTCCGCCTCTTTTTGTGGTGCTTTCTTTGCTTTTGGTTTCTTCTTCTTCTCGGCTTGCTCCTCGGCATCGGGAATTGGAATCTTTTCTGTGTCTTCCTCTTGTGGCACTATCTTAGCTTCCTCTACGGGTGCTGGTGCCTCTTTAACCTTCTTAATTGGCTTCAATTTAACTTCCTCTTTCGATTCTTCAGGTACCTCGCTTTCTGGAATGCGGAATTTCACCTCATCCTCAGGTACCTCTTCTTGTTCTTTTGGTACACCAGGAACTATTTGAGTTATATTTACTTCTGGTTCGGGCTTTGGTTTCGATTTAGGCTTTGGTTTTTGTTTCGGCTCTTTCTTTTCTTTTTTAGGTTCTTCAGGCATTTCCACGGGTTCTAGTTCCTCCTTTTCGTATGCTGGTTGTTCAAATTCCGTGGGTTCGAACGGCTGCAGTTCATATGTGGGCTGTTCTGGTGTTTCTTCAATAACTTTAACTGGTACCTCCTCTTTCTTTTTGGGCACACTTTCTTCAACCACTTCAGCTTCCTTAGGCTTCAAAGGAGTCTTTTTCAAAGTAACACTCTCGGGTTGTTCCTCAGCAATGGGTTTCTTTTTGCCTTTGCCGATCTTAAGCTTAACTTCCTCGGGCTTATCTTCTGCCTTTGGTGTCTTTTCAGGCTTTTGATAGGGTGCAGTTTCTTCGATTTCCTCTTCACTGCTGACATACTTCTCATATTTCTCCAATTGCGGCTTTTCCAAATCGCCCTTTATTTTCTTCAACTTCTTAACCTTTTGTGGTTTGAATTTGAGCAGTTCTTCGGCTTCCTCAATATTGCGAGTAAGTTCACCACTTTCCCGAACTGCGCCAATTTCCGTTATTTGCGGCAATTCAGCCTCAGGCGGGTATTCAACCAGTTCCATGCGACTCTTCAGTTTAAACTTGGGCAATTGTACTGCCTGCTCTTCGACTGCTTTTGGCTTACGTTTAGCTGGCTTCAGTTTAATGGATTGTGGTTCTTCCGTCGTTTCCACAACGACCAATTTAGTAGGTTTCTGCTCCTTACGTTCGATTTTTTGTGGCTCGATGTTAGCGAATTCGGGCTTAACCTTTTCGGGTCTTTCAAATTCGAATTTTTCATATTTCTCCAGTTCGGTCTTCTCGATTTCCTGTTCAAGTAGTTTTTGTATGATGACATCATGCTCGTCTAATTTCTTCTTCACAATCTTCTTTTTCTTTTTAGGCTTCTCCCCTTCACCGACTGTTGGCACATCCTCCTCCTCTGGCTGCTCCTCCTCTATCACTTCAATCGGATGAGATTCTTCGACCTCTGGCACCTCCTCAATGATCCTAACCTGTAGTGGACGCTCTTCTTGTTGCGGTTGCGATTGTTCTTCTTCCGTCGGCTGCTCTTCCACTATGCTCACCTCATAATCCTTATGCACAACTATTTCCTCTCCTAATATATAAAATGAATAATGTGAGACAACATTTGAAATGCTTTTAATTATACGAATAATAAAATGAGAGTTTTATCCATTGGGATAGGCTTTTTACATATATACAGCAGTTTATTACTTTAATATATATCCATTTTTGGTAAATGGAAAACAAGGAAAACGAAGCTAGACGGACAAGTGGGAAACAAATGCAATACAGAAATGCGAAAAATGGCGGTTGTTATAGAGGAAAGAGCA